ACAATTATGAATTGGTGAATTGGTGTAAAAGAATAGTGGCGATAGTGGACACCTTTCTTTTTTTTTTTTGAGACAGAGTCTCATTATGTTGCCCTCAGCAGAGTGCCGGGGCATCACAGCTCTCAGCAATCTCAAACTCTTGGGCTTAAGCGATTCTCTTGCCTCAGCCTTCCAAGTAGCTGGGACTACAGACGCCCACCACAATGTCCGACTATTTTTTGTTGCCATTGTCATTGTTTTAGCTGGCCCAGGCCGGGTTCAAACCCACCACCCTCATGTATGTGGCTGGTACCATAAACACTGTGCTACAAGTGCTGAGCCAGACACCTTTCTTTTTTTGTTTTAGGTAGAATCTCAAGCTGTCACCCTGAGTAGAATGCTGTGGTGTCATAGCTCATAACCACCCCCAACTCTTGGGCTCAAGTGATCCTCTTGACTCAGTTTTTCTATATGTAGTAGAGACAGGGGTCTTGCTTTTGCTCAGGCTTGTCTCAACTTGTGAGCTCAAGCTATCCACCTGCCTTGGCCTCCCAGAGTGCTAGGATTACAGGTATTTGTCATTAAGAAAAATGCTGAGGCTGGGTATGGTGGCTCACGCCTGTAGTCTCAGCACTCTGGGAGGCCAAGGACTATGGAAGGCCAAGCTGGGCAGATCACCTGAGCTCACAAGTTGGAGACCAGCCTGAGCTAGAGCAAAAACCTTGTCTCTAAAAATAGCCAGGCATTGTGGCCAGCGCCTGTGGTCTCAGCTACTTGGGAAGCTGAGGCAAGAGAATCACTTGAGCCTAAGAGTCTGAGGTTGCTGTGAGGTATGACACTACTGCACTTAACTGGCAGGGACAAAGTGAGACTCTGTCTCAAAAAAAAGAAAAAAATGCTGACTTTTGGGTTGAAATACATTTAATCATATCATAGAGGTTCTATTTTATTTTATTTTTTTAAACCTTATTTTATTTGTTTATTTATTTATTTGAGATGGAGTTTTACTTTGTTGCCCTCAGTAGAATGCCCTGGTGTCACAGCTCACAGCAACCTCAAACTCTTGAACTTAAGTAATTCTTTTGCCTCAGCCTCCCAAGAAGCTGGGAGTATAGGCACCCACCACAATGTCCAACTACTTTTAGAGCCCAGGTCTTGCTCTTGCTTAGGCTGGTCTTGAACTCCTGAGCTCAAGCAATCCACCCATCTCAGCCTCCAAGGGTGCTAGGATTACAGGTGTAAGCCACCATACCTTGGATCAACGTTTTATAACAATATTTAACTTTATTCGATTAACAAAGCAGGGAGATGTCAAAAACTAAAAAATGAACCGTTACAAAACTTTAATCCTATCATGGACAATTCCTTTTTTCAGAAATCTCTTCTCTAATATTTAATGTTATTTATTTATTTATTTATTTATTTTGAGATAGAGTCTTACTACATCACCCTTGGTAGAGTGCCATGGCGTCACAACTTACAGCAACCTCAAACTCTTGGGCTTAAGTGATTCTCTTGCCTCAGCCTCCTGACTAGCTGGGACTACAGGCACCTACCACAACGCCTGGCTATTTTTTTGTTGCTCTTGTCATTGTTGTTTAGCAGGCCCGGGCCAGGCTCGGACCCACCAGTCTTGGTGTATATGTGGCTGGCACCCTACTCACTGAGCTATGGGTGCTGAGCCAAAAAAACTAAAAAAATTAACTGTTATATAACTTTAATCCTATCATGGACAATTTCTTTTTTCAGAAATCTGTTCTGTAAGCAACTATTTCATGTCTAAATGCTAAGATATAGAATTGTGTTCCCACACGGTCAATGAAACACTCCTGAGAAGGGAGGATAGGGAGGATGTAAAATTAGAACAAATGATGACAATGAGACATTTCATTTCCATATATATTGAAGAAAGTCCTGAAAGGTACTAAATGTTGTGGTGACTAGATTGCATCATTGAATTTATTAACATTTTTTGAATATTTACTACTTTGGGGGCTTATGTTAGACCCAGGGTGTGGAGAGTGGTGAGATATAAAGATGGATAAGCAGCTGGGCACCTGTAGCTCAAGTGGCTAGGGC